CTCCCACTAATTCCAAACATTTATTGAAATATGTGGAAATGAACTGAATGCATGACCTCAAATTCCCATCTCAAGCCTTTGCACAAAGTCTGACTGAGTTTTCTAGCTGCTGTTCAGCATAAAATGCAACTATAGGTTTAGAGGCCCAGCACAACTGAGCTCTGTGTTCATCAGTCATTTAATGTACAGCAAATGGTCTTTGGGGTTCAAAATCATTTTATGTAATGCTTAACAAGGCCCTCATTGTTTTTGCTGACTTGCAGTAAACCAGTGGGATGCCAAGCTGCCACCATCAGAACATCTGTTTCATTGGAAACGTATTTCAGCAGGCCATGCCTGGAAAGCTGACAGCAGCACTCCTGCAGGCAAACAGCTTGCCAAAGGTCAAAGCCACCCAACACTTTGGGATCAGCAACATTATTTCTGTCTGCTCCACCCCTACCCAGGGTCTTAGAACTGCAATGGGTAAGTGAAAAAATACATCACTGATAATGTATCTTCTGCCAGTAAAGAACAAGAGAAGGGAGGGAAAGAGAGAAAAGCACAGGAGAATGGGAATTCAGTGTGAAGCTATTTACTCTGCCACTGAAAACAAAGCTATTCCCAGAAGCGCCACTTAGTTTGCCTCAGTTAGAACTGGGGTAGAAAAATGTGTAATATAAACTATTTCAGTTATGAAACAGATTAGAGAGTGCTTACACAAACAGCCTCACTAGCACAGATACCTGTCCATTTTAATTTACAGCCTTTCCCAGAATAGTCCATGACCCTCTTTTTAAATTTATTTTTAAGAAGTTACTAATTTTCTTTCATCTTTTAGACTACGAATTCTCCTAAAACACAAACCACAACTGATTTTGTAAACCTTTTGTTCTATTTACAATGCAACATCACTAAAAACCCAGTGAAATAAAACAGTGCAAACATTTCCATTTTACTAACAATCAACAATCACTGGATGCTCTGTTCCTACAGTTAGAGAAAGGTCTTGCTGCTGCTGTTATTGCTACTGCCTTTTGAAGTGAAAGGACAGTGGCACTCTTTCGAATGGCAGCATTTTACAGCAATTTAACTTCCTGCCTAAAGCAGGAAAATTGGCATGAAAATTATCCAGAAAGCACAATCCCACAATCCCATACACACAGAGTTTAAATATATATTTATATATATGTACACACACACACACATATATATATAAAAAGAGAGAGAAGGAGAGATAGATATAAATATAAATATAGATATAGATATATATATACACACACACACATACACACACATATATGCTGGCATTTTCAGGAAAGGCATGACATACATCATATCAAAGACCATAGGGATGAAAAATAAATTACTTGGCAAGATTACTTCCTCAAGTAATTTCACAGAAAAGGAACCATTTCCTAAAAAAGCCTACCATTGCCCTCCAACCTCTTATTTGAAGAGCAGTGCAGCTGATTTCTACCTTCATTCTTATTTACCTTCCATGAAAGCACCACTGAGGACCTAATGAAGAATGCTTGGTAATTCTGGCATTATTGGATTTTTTGTTATTTATTTATTAGACATGAGAGCTGTTATCAGGAAGCAGCCAGGTGAGTCAAATCAGATAAAGCATTATATGATTCCTGTGCTGTAAATCAGATTTTAATAGAGAAAAGATCTGTATCCCTTTGGGAATGGAAAGAATATGTTTATAATGTGTTCTGAGTATGTGCTACACAATAGCAAGCATGGATAAAAATATTTTCTCTAATCAATTTTCCACTTTCTTCTCCAAGTTCTTTCACCCATAAGATGAGAACTAAAATAAATGAAAATTCTGTTTGTGACAAGTGCTAGCAAATAATGAAGATAAGCATGCATAAAAGCATGCATACGTGCTGCATTCTCAAACAGACATACAAAAAATACTGAATTCTGTATATTAAAAGTTATTCTGCTAGCAGAATAACATATGGATTTCAGGTTTATCTAATTCAGCCATTGAAATTAGACCTTTGGTACCTTACTCTTAACCTTAATACAGCTTCTGAACTAGGTATTTATCCTTATCTTTTTCTATTCAGAACCCATGAAGCACTATGACAGCACCTGTATACTGGACACAGATAACATTTGACTACCTCCTGAAGGTTTTACAAATTTTAATTGGCAGAGTAATCTAGATATGCTCAGGTAAAAATTGGTATCAAGCACCAAAAACCTTGATGCAAAGCCAGCTCTTTCTTGTACAGCAGTGCTATTTGAATTTTGATATGCTGGAAATTACTGTTTACAAAAATGAGGGCACCTAATACACCTAATGCATCACTGTTTGAATTAAAATTCTGAAATTAGTTTACTACCCAGATACCTAAATATTCTGAGGGCTCAAAAATTACTTTTTAAAACCCAGCTTGTTAGGTCACATCCAATTAATTCCAAATGGAAGAATGGGAGGAATAGGCCTTTCAAGTCATGTTCGGCTGAAAAAATCCATTTATTTTATGATTTACACATTAAAATTAATTGATAACCACAAAAAATTATTCACTGAGGTTTACAATATATTTACACTGAGGTTTACAAAGGTGTGTGTTCAGATTGCTGTTAATGAATCAACAGGTAAAGCTCAGCCATTGCCAGCCATCAGCATGGCTGACATCCATATCACAATTTAGTATCTATTCTTATTATTCTATTTTTTCCTCAGTTGATCCTTTGCTTCTCCATCCCAATTTTTTAGAAGGACTAATATTTTTTGAAGTAAGTGCAAAACTACAAGCAGCATAAAAGTGCATTAACACAATGGAAGCTAGTATCAAACTTGAACTATCATAATGTAGGTCCTATTTATTAGGGAAAAAAACCCAACTAACCACATGCTGTATTGGAGATATTGGTTTCCCTTTTGGGGAATGTTATTGCACTTTAATTTTTTAATCAGTGTCTGAACAATAACCTTATTCAAAGGTTATTCTGCATTTGGATGAGAGAAAAGGTTAGCTTTAGTCACTCGGGCAAGAGAGCAATTTCAGCTTGTAATGACCTTGATGTCTCAGATAGATTGAGCCTCTTCAAGGAAGACCAGATCATTTTTTGGTTTTACAGACATATCTGTGATTAATATGGAGAAATAAATGAAAGAACTACAACCTGGGAGAAGCATGAATATTGAGACTGAAAACAGCCTGCAATGGGATGCAATATATACATCACTAAGGAAAACACTGTAAAGGTCTTCTCTCTTTCTTCCTGGAAAATCACAGCAAAAAGGGTGGGGAGAAGCAGAGACGATGGTGTTGTGTTAGGATGAAACAAGAAGGAAACAGTCACATAAATACTTTTTTGTCCCCCAGACAAAGACATTAAATTAAGCATATTAAAAAACCCTGTAGGTCCATATCTAGTTATGACCAACGTTTAAAAACCTGATATCTTAATCCAACCCTAGAGAGAAAAATTATTTACTGCCATTTCATCTCCCTCCTGCATCCTCCTCCAGCTGGTACAGCTCACTTGCAATCCCTTTCTCTTTAGCTTTAGCAGATCAGGCAATCATAATTTAGTAGTAACAAAGAAACAGAGCAGGCAGACCATCTTTAAAATTACCAACTTTCTAATGAGCACCTTGCAAATCTGATGAAATTTATGGAATTAAACTGAAAAAAAATCTGTTTTATCTGAAAAATAGCTTCTTCAGCTAACAAAAATCAGAAGAAAGGGCTGCAACCTCATTGCATCTACCACATTTTAATCCACACAGTAGCCTTTTGCAGCACAACACAGGATTCAGAGATGCTTCCTTCATTAACATGAGGCTGGTTTGAGCTTCTTGCACCTCATTCTGAAGAACTGAACATTTTCTGAGAAATTAGTACCTCAGTGCAATGGGTCACAGAAGCTGCTGGACAACAGGAGATGAGCAGATGAAAATTCAGTATCTTATATGTCAACTGTTATACATACAAATGAAAACATCTGACTCTTTTTCAAATTAAGGGAATGTCTCTTATGCAATACATTCAGCTCTTCCCATCCAGTTTAAAAGGACAGAAACATTGCTAGCCAGACAGTTCTTCATCTGGCAATTCTCCCACAATCCAAAACTAATGCCATGTTTATATATTTTATCATTAATGAGCTACTAATGCCTACCACCACCTCAATTGCACATGCTCAAGCTCTCAGTGGAATCAGCAGATGTTCTGCGGGCTGGCACAGTGGGTCACTCACATTAATTCTCAGCCAGTGAAGGCATGCACTGCAAACTATGAGAACAGCACATCCTTTCTGCATGGAATGGCTCTAAAGCCTGGGCACGTCAGTCAGATTGAGACTAGAGCCTCTCAATTACTGCTTTGCTCCCACTTAAGTTTTAATGAATCTTCACTGAATATATCCCATTACTTTCCTGTGTAAATACATCCCAAATGACTCGGTGTGGGAGGAAGAGGCAGCAGGATGAAGGTTGTCTTGATTTTTCTTTGGTTCATAAAACCTCCCTTCTCTACAGATAAAATGTCCCTGGTTCTAGATTAAATGGACTCTTTTCCACTTCAAAGTAAGAAAAAGCATCTATTCATGCAGGGTTGGGAAGCAGACAATATACATGAAGCAGTTCAGGCGAAGTGAGGTAGCTTTAATAATCTGTATCACATTATTATTTGTCTGCTGTAACTTTATGGCTTATAAGCAGGAGTTTAGACACTCGTGGCTTCTTCTCCCTGGAGGGCAATGTATCAAGATGGTAATGTATCATGACCTCAACAAATGTTCTGTTTGAAGAGCACAACAACTCCCAAATGGAAAATGTGTTTCTGCCTGTGATACCTCAGGTTTAAACGTATTTCTCTCGCTTTTTTTGTAAAAACCCCTTCATTTCTAGGAAAACAATGTCTTGGCAGGGGTTCAGTGCCATGCTTCACCTTCAAACTTGTAAGGCCCTTCATCATTGGTAGAGGTGCTCTAAATGCAGGGTCAGGACCACATCAAGCCCAGTGTTCCAGAGGCATCTCACTTACTGAGGTTCCATTTAAGGCCTGTCGTGGTCACACTCTCGCAGGGATTCCCGATGGGGATGAGGCCACACCAGGAGCCCTCCAGTCCTGTGTCCACATGCAGCTTGTGCTTGCCCTGCAAGACAGAAGTGTTTCTGGCGTCAGTGCCTGCCAGGTGCCTGAATGGCATTTGATCACAGACCTTGCAAACAAAAGAGGAGGCATTTGGAGACAGGTCCAGAATGTCCCCAAGAGCTCAGGAACATTTGGTTGCAGCAGGAAGTCAGGTCATTGATGTTTACAGAGGGAGGAGTGATGTGTGCTTAGGTTCCAGACCTTAGGGCTTTCAAAAGTTTGTTTTTAGGCTTTTCTAAGCAGAATCTAGCTTTGCTCATTATTCCCTGGCATTATTTGAATACACACTTCTGTCAAAGTTAGGCTCTTTATTCCTGTGAAATGAAGGCATCCTGATCCATTCACTCATTTTTTCCTCATCTAAACATCTGTATTTCACTTCCTAAACAGTGCTAGTCAAAGCACTGAAGTGCCTCAATTATTTTGACAACATCTGTAAAATTTCATGTACTTCTCCAGGCATGCACTCTTCCCAGAAGGAGGAAGACATGCAGAAACTTAACTAGGTGAAATTAACCTACATATTTAGAGTAACCTGCTTAAACTTAAAGCAATGAAAAAACTGCAATTAAAACTTTTTTACATCCAAGATAAATTTATCTAGCAACGAAAATGTTCATGGGATGCAACAGCTATTCATGATGATGTATTTGTGATAAATCTCTTAATTAGCACTTACAGATCCTGTATTACCATCCTATCAGTTATAAGGAAGAGTAGATAGTGGCAATCCTTAACAAAATGAAAAGTGCTGAGTGTTACAGTTCTGGCACAATCTGTGTTCCAAAAAACTGAGAAAGTGTTTATGGAAACTAGCTACAAGAAAGCAGAAAATGAAAAGCAGTGACAAGATCAGTGGAGAAATCATCCTCTGGTATCTTCTACACAGATAATTTATTCCTTCAAATAAGCCTGGGCTTCATGGGGGAGAAACTTCAGATTCTCTGAAATAGAGGATTCTTTTAAATTTTATTTTATTCTCTTGTGGATGCAGGCAAGCAAAACTCTTGAGCACGTCTTTTAGACACAAATTCTTCATCACTATAAATAAAATCAGATATGCCTATTTATAAATATACCAAAACAAATGGACTCTGAACTCCTATGGCTATTCAGTGAACACTTTGTTATGCAAGAAACCAATGATTTGTACCAAAAGAAATGAAGAACAGCTGAACCATAAAACTCAACTAAATTTCTCAAGCAGCAATCTCACAAATTTTCTTAGGAGAATGCATTTAAGCTTTTTTCTCCTGCCCTGCCCTGCCCTGCCCTGTCCTATGCTCATTTCACATGCTCTTGCAAATACAAAGTCACTAGTTAAAAAGTCAAAACTGGAGGTGAAATATCTTATTGCTGAGACATTGATGTCTGAGGCTTCTCCTGTTAATGTCAAATGCATTATGAAGAAACAACTTCAATATATGTCATGCTCTCAGTTAACAAATGAACCTTAGAAAAGCTGTCAATTAGGGAATATCAGATTGCATATCTTAAGCCTATTTGATTGTTTGCAGAGAAACAAGAAAACCAATCCAATATTACTTGTCTTCTCAGGGCGTCCAGCTCCACGTGGTGATGAGCCATGTATATGTGTAGTGGTTGTGAATGACTGTCTGTCAAATTCAGAGCTGCAACAAATTCAGGCTTGATAAGCTTTTAGCTATGCAATATGCCATGCCACTTCTCTCTCACAGCATGGAGGGAGGAGGAAAGGAAGAGCAGACCTACGAGTACAATCTCTCTCATTATGTGATTACAGATATTGTCGATAATGAAGCTGATGATGAATGAGACATGAAGGGGTGGGACTGTCTGATGCCAATGAAACTACATGTTGCTGCTCAGAGCTACTGGAGAAGAGGAGCAAACGCAGCATATTAATCAATTAGTTAAGGAATATTTAAAGCAGATGAGAAAGTAGCTGGCCCCACAGAGAACTCGATTAAGTTCCATATTCTCAAAGTCTGTGTCTAACTACTATCAGGTTTGCATTTCCTATTTTGACATTCTGCCCCAGCTTGCAGATAGGGAATCAATTCAGTAGAAATTTATGCAGAAAACTGTCTTCCTGTGCTCATGAAACAAATCTTTAAAACAAAAGATGCCAATATCAGAGCCTCACCAATATCTAGGATTTTTTCAGGAGTCTTTCAATGTCTGATACTTCCTGAAAATCCCAGTTCACGTTCCAGTAATTATGTGAGCACAATGATTTTCTTCCCTAAAAGGACATTTTCTAGCACTCAGTTGTTAAGAGAAATTTAAAATAGGGGGCCCAAAGGGCTAAACCCAAAGTAGCAGGTGAACAAGAATATTGAAATGCAAATAATTAAAAAAAACCCCAACCCCTCTCAACTGTCAGGCCCAACTTATATTTTAGGGATTGGTTCAATAATATAACAAAAGTCAGTTTCTAAGGCTTTTCTTTAACTAAATCAATATGGGATCTTAATATTACTGAGGATAGTGAGAGCAGAAAAGGGAAATGAATGTTGGGAAAAAACAAACAAAAAACAAATTACAAATAGCCCACTCATTTTTGCCAAAAAAGGTTAATCAGCCAATGCATTTGTACAGTAAAGCTCTAAATTCAAAGCACTGTGAACCTGCCATGAAAGAAATTCAGTTCCCCAGCTTATCTCTAGTTTTCTGAGCACAGATCTCTCAATCAAGCAAGATGGAACTGATATTTGCAGGAGGAAAGGAGGATCAGAGCTTGTAATTTGCAAATACAAGTAATAATTTATTCTATTTAAGTCTGTGTGATTAAAGGAATAATTACATACTGTCATTTAAAATATCAAACTGCTTTCAGTTTCTGCAGAACTCAGATTTCCAAACTAGGTTTAAAAAGAAAACTAAACTTTGACTAAATAAGTCCCTCCTTATTTTTTTTGCCTCTGTAGGAGGTAACTGAAATATTTTCACATTTAAGTTAAAAATCAAATATTACCACGTTTGAATGTTCCTGGTGATGAAAGAATGGCAAATAATACAGCTGCATTGATTTTTATCTTATTATGTCAGTTCTGAAAAACATTGATCAATCTTCAGCATCGATTTTTTCCCCTTCATTTTGTTTTGATGCTGGAAAATAAGATCAATTTTTGAGTTCAGCAATAAGAAGAAAATGTCAGAAGATATTTTTAAGAATGTTTTATCCACATAGGTTAAACTTTTCCTTTTGATTCTAGTGCCTTGTGGTATAAGAAAGTATTTAAGGAGTAGTGGTTAACTTACTCTGATACACTTTTTGCTGAGGAAAGACCAAAAGACATAGTTGTTATTTGCCACATCTAACCGAAATGAATAGAAGTCTGATTGCCAGGAATTCATACACCTAACCCCATTCAAGCTTGTGAGATGATAAAATCCTTAGTCAAAAATCTGCAAGCTGAAATCACATGAACAGCATCAAGACTTCTCTAAGTACATGGATATCCCAATACAGAGAAAATTACTTCTCCAAGTGCTTTCCAGACCATCTTGAATAGATGTGTTGCAATAAATGTATACTCTAAAAGAGATATCGAGGAACAAAATGTTACGAAAGAGAGACAGAATTGGCACTAATCTTCAGCAATGCATTCTGAAGGGATCTGCAGGAGGGAAACATGGAACTTGTCAGGTTGAAACTGAACAGAGAGGAGAGACATAAGGTCAGTTAACAAGATGCTGGGGAAGGATAAGGAATTAAAATTAAGCTTTGAAAAACAAATTAGGATAGATATAGTAAAAAGATCTTGGAAACTGCTGAATAACTAGGACATGTGAAAGATAATGGGGAAGGAAAAGGAATGAGTTACCAGTTTGAAGGACGAAGCAAACTTACTCTGATTTAAAGAAATCAACGGAATAATTTCATTACTAGAAATAATTTATTTTCTAAAAGGTGTACTTTCACCCATGCTTGCTGTGAGATCTGGGACTACAGAGAAACAGGATTTCTTGAGATCTGGCCAACTGCTCTATGATACCTCCTCCACTCTCTAGATCTTATTTTCCATGATCTTCTGATAAAACATCTTTTTTATACCAGCCTTATTTCTCCAATTACTCCATAGATGGCAGCATACACTTGAAAGCAACAAGAGCAGCAAAAAACTAAATACAGATGTCATAGTGTCATCCAGGTAAAAGGCAAAATCCACAATCTGCTTTAGTACATAAACATCTGGGTGCAAAAAAATGGTATATAGAAAAGAGACCTAGGAAATGGGTGGAAATCAACACAATTACCAAAGACAGCAGGAGAGGAGAGGAAGACGAAAGGAACAAGGATTAAGCAAAATTGAGAAAATTTATGTTTAAAATGTTTAAAATCAATAAAGTTTAAAATCAACTTTACTGGCAATAAAGTAAAAAAAGTTCCAGAAATATTTATACTAATCATTAGTTGTGTAAGAGCTTGACTTAACAATAATAAAAGCTTTCAGGCTGAGATTTTGAGCAAGATAAATACAGCCAATTTTTCTAAAAGGATGTACTTAAGAAGAGCCATTTTGTTATAACCCTAAAATATCATCAATTGTCTTTTCACACAAATACACACAGTGCCAAGTTGCTATTACGTGAAAACTATTCAGAGAACATTTTCTGAGCCAACCAGGTTGTTTGCTGTTGAAAATCAAAGTATGCACAGTTCCAGCAAAAACTCGTACATCTAGAAGCTCTCATATGTCATATCAATGACTGCTTACACACATAGAGAAAACCCAGCAAATTTATTACACTTCAAAATATTGAAAACGGTTGGACCCAATCCTGCCAATCCTTACTATCAAAGTTTGTGTTGTTCCTATGCTGAAATGGATAGACTTCAGTGTATCAGTTTTTTGCAAGACAGAGCCCTACCAAGGCTACCCTTCAAGAGGAGCACTTAATAAAAAAAATGACTTTATAGTGAATAAAATCCCAGGCAGGAAACACAGAATATATTATAATTATAATATCATTATTAGACCAAATTAATGAACACATCTGTTTCAAACCAATTTA